AAGAAAAACCCTGACTAGTAGCTTTATATACATCCTAATGCTGACAATTAAAGAAGTTTACTTGTCGGACACCATCATACCAGCCCCTTCTTTAACGACTCCTGCTTTGGTTGTCTCAGTACCCGGAGCTGCTGGTGGCTTCATATAACAACAACGAGGATGCTCCACATGAGCCCGATGGTGTAGCACTTGTCTGGAACATGAAGTACAAGAAGGCCACTCCTGAGTACATCTTCCACTGCCAGGTAATCACTGAAATACATCATGTCTACCTGCCTCCCACAGTCCTGCACAGTCCAAAAATAATTCCCAGTGGAATAGAATATGATCGGAATATTTCTCCAAGCTAAATTTGGCAATATATTGTAAGGAAAATGTTCTTATTTTTCATCTGTAAATCAGTCGTTTGCCCACTCTAAAATTTCTCCACCCCTTTGAAAAACCCTCCATCCATTAATTCTTTTTAAAATGGACAGAGGACCATGGGAAATCCAAGCTCGGAAAGCTATGGATTCTAAAAATATGTGCAGGAAACATGGTTACGGGAGAAAACATTTAGGGCTTCTTTTTCTTGTCTTCCTTGCAGTCGGAGGTGATGTCAGCTAGCTTTGCAAAGTTTCACCCAAACCTGGTGGTGGGTGGGACTTATTCCGGACAGATAGTCCTCTGGGACAACAGGAGCAACAAGCGCACTCCTGTTCAGAGAACCCCCCTGTCTGCATCTGCTCACACAGTAAGGCACCGTAACACTCCCCTGTCTGCCTCTTTAAATCAGACTCACTCTGATTTAAAGCTCACATTGTCCGTCGCTCTGTTCAGCATCCAGTCTACTGTGTGAACGTTGTTGGAACTCAGAACGCTCACAACCTGATCAGCATTTCCACTGATGGCAAGATGTGCTCCTGGAGTCTCGACATGCTCTCCCAGCCGCAGGTACGCTTTGCTTGCCTCCACGGCTACAGACGTGTTTCCGGGTAAAGCAGGTGTTTTGTCTGAGGGTTTAAACCTGATATGTGTTTCGCCTGCAGGACAGTCTGGAGCTGGTGTTCAAACAGAGCAAGGCTGTGGCTGTAACATCTAGTGCATTTCCTGTGGGGGATGTAAATAACTTTGTGGTAGGAAGCGAGGACGGCTCAGTCTACACCGCCTGCCGTCACGGCAGGTGAGGTCATCTGAATGTTTTTTCTATGAGTGAGAAAGGCCTGATTTCATAGGTTCTGGCTGGAGATCTGCATACCTTTTGATATCGCTTTTTATTTTGTGTTTTACAGTAAGGCTGGGATCACAGAGGTGTTTGAAGGCCATCATGGTCCTGTGACTGGACTGAGCTGTCACAGCGCAGCAGGACCTGTGGATTTCTCTCACCTCTTCATCTCCTCCTCTTTTGACTGGACTGTCAAACTGTGGAGCACGAAGGTGAATCCTCCACTGGAACACTTAAACCACCTAAACCAACATTTCGTTTTAATTTCCTTGCTTAGTTCTCATTATGGTTTTCTCGCTGCAGAGCACCCGTCCTTTGTACTCATTCGAGGACAGTTCTGACTACGTTTACGACTCCATGTGGTCGCCAGCACATCCTGCTCTATTTGCTTGTGTGGACCTATCTGGACGGCTGGACCTGTGGAACCTAAACAACGACACTGAAGTATGAAGACATAGTAATTGCTGCCAGATGGCTAATATGTCTTCAACTCACCTTAGTTTATCACAGGACAGTCATGCGTGGAATAAAGTGGAACCAATGCATTTAAGTTTCTCCTCCTCAGTAATTTATTGTGTGTGTTGTAGGTTCCAACAGCCAGTGTTTGTGTGGAAGGATCTCCAGCTCTCAACCGTGTGAGATGGTCTCATTCTGGGAAGGAGATTGCCACTGGAGACTCAGATGGACAGGTGCAGATTTACGACGTAGGGGAGGTAAGTTTTCGGCCCCTCTGGCTATAAACTCCATAAATAATGGTAATTAGACATTTACAAACCATCATCATGTACATAAACATAATATTACAGGCTTATAATGCTTTTCAGCTCTTCTTTCTTCAGGGTGGATCAAATTCTGGGTAATTACTATTGATATGGAAGGAGAGTAACTTTATTTTAGAATACATTCCAATAGGACATAACATTATTTAATAAGGCATTTTATAATTTTATAGTGTATTTACTTTTATATTCAAATGAACCTAAATTAAATTATAACATAGAATTCACTGTCTAGAATATACTATCTATATATTTCATGATACATTTTGCTCCTTAATATCCTGTACTTCAAGAACCAATTACTGGGAAAAAAAATTACGACCCCTAGTTTGTCTTCTGCAACCCCCTGGTTGGGTGTGGCCCCTACTTTAGGAACCCAAGGGATAGACAACACAGGATAAAATGTATTGATATATAAAATAGTGTAGAATAATGTTGAGGGTTTTTTTCAAGGTTTGATGGCTGCATAGGCTTAGATAAATGCATACACTCCATTAATATTCTTAAATGAAACAGTGTAGTTTCAAGAAATGTGTACAAGAAATATTTAGCTTAAATTGCTTTGCTAATCTCTGTGTTCTAATGAAGCAAGAATTAGGGCTTAAGCTTTCCTAAACTGTCCCGAGCCTCCATCATTTAGTGAGTCTAACCCCCTTCCATCTGACTGCCTAATATTAGATCAGCAGCAGGGTTTCTTTTCCTTCCAGATCCGACTCATTGTCCGTACTAGACCACTTCTCTATTTGAAAAATCTGTCTGGTCATCATTTATTGATGTTCCTTTGGCTACCATGTTCCATAATGCATTAACAGCATCACGGAGTTTAGAAGTGTTTTTAAAATAATTTTTTTTCTCAAAGAAAAGGTAGATTGTTCTGTTTAGTACCAAGTGACTAATGATTTTGTTGGTGTTTGTAGCATCTCTTTTATTATTTGTGAGTGTAAATCATAATTTAGAACATTTGTGGTTCAAAGGGAAATTTGCCTCCCTTTTATATTCTATGTCTTTTCATATTTATTAGTTATTTGTTCTAACAGCACTACATAAAGGCAAAAAACTAAAGCCCAAAATGAATGACTTTTTTTCTTCATTTTACTGTTATTGATGGGACTCAGTTTTCTCCCTAGAAAAAAGCTGTCACTGCTAAACTTTCCTTGATATCATGTTTTGATGCATTCCCTGGTATCTCCCAACAGCAAATCTGCGTTCCCAAAGCAGATGAGTGGACACGGTTCGTCAGGACGCTGGCAGAAATCAATGAGAACAGAGACGAAGCTGAGGAACTGGCTAACGTCTGATCCTGTAACTCCCTTATTAGCCTTTAATAAATCCCTCTTTAGTACACTACACATCTATAGCACATTAGGTGACACGACCAAGAGAGTTGGGCCGCGTTCACACCGCAGGCCTTAATGCTCAATTCCAATAATTTTGTGAAATCCAATTCTTTAGTGTGGTTGTTAACATTTCTAAATATATGCAACTTGTATGTGATCTCCTGTGTGAAATTAATTCACACAACTTAACTTTCGTGTTCCACACACGCAGTAGAAGACGCAATGACGTCATTAGTAGCGTGCTCTGTGTTTACGGAAGTAAACATGGATGGTAGTACTGCTGAGCATCTTGCAATCGTTAATTTATTTCCCAACCTCAGTCAGTGCATTAACATCACAATACATTTAAGAGGGTTGAAAATAAAGACTACTAAAGAGTCATGAAAAGATCAGATACAGGTTGCATATGTGCAAAAAAATTGGATTTGGAGCACTTTAGGCTGCTGTGTGAACGTAGCCTTACACTCTCTTCTCTGATTTCCAGCTTTTCCTTCCACTAGAACGTGGGCCTGAGGAGCTAGAATGGACAGATTTTCTTATGGAGAGAAACAAAGGGTTAAGAGTTTGTACGAATCAGTTGTAGTTAAAAGATGAATCCTAATTCAAACTTGTAGATTCGACTACACCCTCAGGACTCCGAAAACTGCTTTTCTCCTTAGGCCTCAACCAATATTTTTTTACATATGCAAAAACCTTTGTACTTGCACCTTTTTCTTACCATTTGGGTGTTCTGCATAATATTTTACAAACATGCTTATGTTTACCCTGAGTTTGGGACACTCTTCTAAGAGAAATACGAAGCGTTAAGTCGTAAACCTTCAACAGGACAAGCTGTGGGAATGAGTAGAAGTGTCACTAACTTTCTTATCGCAACTATATTTAATATTTATTACTCTCGCTGCACTTATTTAAATGTGTTACTTGCTCTCTAAGAAATTTTGTACAATTTGGCAGTTAGTTTATTCCTGCATTAATGACTGATAAGTTACTCTGTACTAAAAAGCAGGAAATGTTTGTTGACTAAATTCTCTTGAAGAGAATGTAAAATATTTAGTAAATGAAGATGTATCAGTGTGGTTGTAAAGGTTTTTTTTTTCCTGATAAAGGTGCACCAAGAAATTTTGTCTGATTTTTAATTTGATCAGCTGGTTGGGAAGCAGAAAAAATAATAGCTTGGTACTGGACACACCTTAAGTGCTTCCATGTTTACCGCAACAGTCTTTGGTGTGGATACTGTTGAAGAGTGAAGAGTTAAGGGTAGTAGAAATGTGGCGTTTAAAAATAAAAAGATAACAGGAAGGGTTTTGGAGATGACATAATATGCTTTGGATAATTTGGTAATTTCAACATAAACAGAAATCTAATTTTACCAAGACGATCCTCACATGTGACTTTACTGTTGCTTCCAATATAATTATCTGGTTGTATAAAGAATCGGCATCAACAGGGTCAAAGCAGTTATACAAGGCTCAGATTGGAAATTAGTAACAAAAAAATCAGTTTAGTGCACCTTATCATTCATCCTATGAAGTAACATTCACCCTTGAACTAAAGCTGATGAAGTAACCATGCTTTATGTATGACAAATAAAGGTTTTCACAGTAATTGTATTGTCATAATATTCCTGAAACAACAAACGCTTTCCCCTTTTCATTGAAATAAAAAAATGAACAATACTGATAAAGATAAAACCATATGGATGATTTATTTATTTAAAATACAATGACTGAATTGAGATACATTTAATTTATTAATATCCAATTCTCCGCTCATGACTCTTGTTTAAACAAGAAAACAAAGGAAAAGCTCTGTACATCAGTAAGAGTGATTCTCAGAGACCGGGACCAAAGGCCCCACATTGCTCCAACATTACATCTATTAAAGTGTAATGACACAGGTGGATCTTGTAACTTTTCCTCAGTACAGTTATACAATATATACAGTATGTGGCCTCCTGTGCGAGTTACTTTGGGTAAAGCCTCACACTGCGTAGATCAATCAGTTATATCCTATGCCCACTGCCCGAAAAGAGAAGTCTTACTCATACAGAGTATCAGACAAAAAAAACAGAATGAATCATCTACTCATGAGAGAGAGGAGTGCCCAAGGTTCAGTTTCACACAAATGTTTGAGAGAAGAACACAAAAAGATGGAGTTCCCAGGAGCACACAGCCACTGCAGATGCAACACAGTCAGCTCTACTCTCCTGACGCTGTATGACTGCAGGCTGGCCTACAGCCACAGCCTGTACCTCCGCCTGTAGCTGGTTGGTGACCACTGGAGCGCACCTTCGCCCTGGAGAGAGCGGCAGGCTGGTGGTGTTCAATCCTACATCATGGTCCCTAATGTGTGGAGTCGTGTGTGCTTTGTTTGTGTTGATCTAAGTGTCTGGCTCCTGGTAGTAGAGAAGCAATATGAAGTTGGAGATGATTATGGTGCCTTAGCAGGACCGGCAGCAGCTGCCTCTGAAAGATGGATGGAAGCAACACCAGAGGACTTGAACTTGGGGAGGTGAAGACCGAATTTGTTTTCCACTCCGGCAAATGTAGCTGCAGCCAGGCGGTAGCCGCCGACATGCTCTGCATGGATGGGAGGAAGCTCTGAAATGCGTGACTTGGGAGTCGGTTCAGATCCTGCTGGACGACTGCAGAAAGCAAAGGAGATAAGACGTCACTTAATGAACAGACACTGATGTATTTTGATCTATAAATCTACAATAATGCAAAACCTAAAGCATTGTTTGTAAGAATTACAAATGTCAGCTCTAGTTTAAATATATATTTGGATAGCAAACAACCAGAGCATCACTTCTCAGCTTGCAAGGGTTCCTAGATATTTTAGATGAATTTCAACCCACTTTAAGACTACATTTACAGATTACAATTCAAATAGGATGATGGGAGCTTCAAAGGTTAATACAAACGTTATGGGGATTTATCTCAATAGTGATAAACCTGATGATACAAAGGGATTAGAAATCCACTCGTTATTTTGGGGGGAGGCGGCTGATATAATGCAGTGCTGCTCTGATCGGTTGTGGTAAAGACAGAGCTGAGCCAAAAAGCAAAGCTCTCGCTTTACCGGTCGGTCTAATTTCCTACCCTCACCTATGGTCTCGAAATCTGGATCATGACCTACAGAACGAGATCCCAGATCCTTCCTTAGAGACAGGGTTAGGAGCTCCATCATTCAGCAGAGGCTCAGAGTAGAGCTGCTTCTCCTCTTTTACAGATACACTCAGTCCAGGCACGCCCCACCAGGAGGACGACCCAGGATACATTTTAAAATTGGAATAGTTTTGCTTCTGAATATACTTATTAGTAATAAAATTAATATTTTAATTTAATTTTTCCTTGTTTAGAAAAATCTGAAAAAAAACGAACCTATATTTTTTGTTTTATTTTAGAAACAAAAACCACAACTTACTGTCCACCAAAATCAATGTAGAACCATCGCTGCAACAGTTCGTAAGTCACCAAAGTCACACCGAACTGAGGGGAGGACCGACACATACGAGCTAAAGGAGGAAAAACACAAACAAATTGATGAATATTGGTGTTTAATAGAAAAGAAATCTAAGCAGTTGTCCAGACAGAAACGCACCCCCAGCTCCTTTCCACAAAGCGCTGAACCCTTCCTCCCTCATGATCTTTCTGAAGCAATCAACAACTCCCGTGTAGGTGGTCTGTCCTGCTCGTGCTGCAACTTGCAGACGCGTCTTGATAACATCAGCAGGTGTAACCAGGGATGCAGCAGGGATGCCTGGGGAACAATAAGAAAGACAAAGCATGTTTTTATATGGTCCTTTAAAAAAAAAGAAATAAATATAAAGAAGGTAACCTGGTTTACGGGATTAAAGCCCAGCATGTTGGGCATTCTGACATCAATGTTCCTCTAGCACAGAGGTCACGGATTAGCGGACCCACCTGCTGGCTAATCCGGACCCAACCTGATTTAAAACATTTACAAATTACCGCATGTTGTCCGACGACAGTGTCTAAACGTCACTTGCACCGCTTCTCCTGTTACCCTGAAATCCCACATCCTCCGTTACCGCTGCGCCCCGCAGCGCTCCAGACCTCCTGCGCAAAGCAGAGCCTACAGCCTCCGCTGTTCCTCCCGTATTGCTGCGGTCCGACTTATCCTCAGAGCTCGAGGAGAGCATGCGCGATATTACCGTATTTTCACGACCATAAGGCGCACCGTACTAAAAGGCGCACTCTCAGTTATGTGTCCCATTTCTGTATTTAACACACACATAAGGCGCACCGGACTATAGGGCGCGTTTTTTATATACAGGTACATGTCCTCTACTACCTTTAAATACCTCTACTGCGTATTTAAAAATACAGCGGGGGCAAAACTGAGTATGACTGTGCTTTATTCATGTATTTATTACAAACTATTAATCAAACCTGGGTGCTGGCCGTGAGATAGACACATCGCAGATGACAGAGCGCTGTGATCACTCCTAAATTAACTTAAAATCCTGAAACCTGCCGACGGAATATGTTCGCTTTTATTACCGGTATCCTAGTGCCTGCAGCTAAAATTATTTAGATGAAAAACACCTGCCCAGCCTAGAGGCTGCTGATGAAGGGATTTCTACTGTTGGTGCACCGCTGGTATGTGGGGGTCTGAGCGCCTCCGACAGAAATAGATAATCTGGATGAACTGACTGCAATTATTAAGTTTTCAGGTGGACTTTCTCACTTAAAAACATATTAAAACTACTTTATTCCCACTGATCACAGCAAATATAGCTGCAAGATTTAGATTATTTAGATGAAAAAACACCTGCCAGCCGCTGCGGTGAAGAGGAGGAGACCCGGCCCAGAGGCTGCTGTTGAATTAAGTTTTCAGGTAGAAAAATAGAGCGGGAGCAAAACTGAGTATGATTGTGCTTTATTAATGTATTTATTACAAAGTATTAATCAAACCCATCAAAGTCCTCATCCTCTGTTTCTGAATTAAACAGCTGCGCTAAATCAGACATGCCAATTTCCCCTTCTTCGCTGTCAGAGTCACTTTCCGTGCCGGGCGGCTCCTCGAACAACAGAGCCAGCAGACACGTTAGTCCAAGCATCTACAATCCATCCGCAAACGGTGGCGTAACTTGCCAGGCGCTGCGTTCCACTTATCCTGAAACTGTGGTCTCCGTCGGTCATCCATCGCTCCCACGCCGCTCGCAGCCTTACTTTGAATGGCCGCTTCACACCGATGTCGAGCGTTTGAAGTTCCTTTGTTAGACCTCCCGGGATAACGGCGAGCACAGCATCCATTTGATTCACCATGTTTTTCTCATCAGCTGTGAGATGGGCACGCATGGAGTCACAGATTAACTGCGATGGTGATGCGTGGAAAAAAACACCTGTTCTCCTCACATACACCTGCCTCAGCCACGCTTTCATCATCTCCTCATCCATCCAGCCCTTTTCATTTGCGTTAATATCATATGTCATCAGAGCGCTGTGTCTGTCTCGCTGTCAGCTCCCAGATCAGCTTCTCTGATTGGTTGATGCGGCGCGTCCAGCAGCAAAACTTCAATTTTTCCATCTCGAGCAGCAGCAGCGCGTTGGCGGTGCGTCAGATGCTTAAACGCTCCCGACGCAGCGCCAGCTGCTCAAAACGCGCTGCGGGACCTTTTGCTGCGCCTATACGCGCGTCAACCATTGACTTTGCATGTAAACTCGCTGCTTCTGCTGCACCTGCTGGGTCCGGTTCACACCGATGTCGAGCGGTTGAACAGCGAGCAGAGGGTTAATTTGTTTCCCCATGTTTTTCACATCAGCTGTGAGATGGGCACGCATGGAGTTACATATTAACAGCGATGGGGATGAGTGGAAAAAAAAAACACCTGGTCTCCTTACATTCAGCCACTCTTTCATCATCTCCTCAATGAGGTGGTCGCAAAAGTCGCAGTTACAACACACATAGGGCGCAACTCATCAAAGGGCGCACCGCACATTTTTAGGGAAAAAAAAGACGTTTAAGTGCGCCTTATAGTCGTGAAAATACGGTATTATTAAATTCGTAGGAGCAAAACATGCAGAAATGAACGCTTGATTTAATACGACATGTAAAAAAAAAAAATCCCCATCAGCATCCAGCATATGTGGGGTTTCTGATCTAGTTGAGAAATCTGCTACCTGGTCTGTTGAAGTACCAATAGTTTGCATCCAATCTTTTAAATAAACGGTGTTAGTTTTTTGAGATATATAAAAATTATGATCTAATTTGTAATAACCAATCTGTTGTTATTACTATATTTAAATTTGAAAGAAACAGATCTTCACGCCATTCTTTTTCCTGTTTGGTGGGATTGCAATAGTGGATCTTGACCTTGATGAACAGAATCAAAAATAAAAATGGATCCAGGCTCAAATGAGCACCTTGATATGTGCTTGAGAACGGCTTGGTCTCAATTCAAACCCAGATTTGAAGCCTTGCAGGACAGCCTAAAGCTTATTGCTCTCATCACGGTCCGTTCAGGTGTTTCATAAAACATGTGAATCAGGAAATTGTCTAGATAGCAAACTGAAAGATTGTTGTTCTCTACTTCAAAAACACTTTAGATTTTAATGTGGAAAATTTTTCTTTTTTTGTTGTTGTATTTTTTCATTTAAAAATTCAATGTATAACATGAAAGCATAAACACCTCATTTTATTTCAGTGTTAAATTCTATTTAAAGTAACAGATCATTAAAAATGTCTCCAGCCCTTTACTGGTTGATGATTTTCTTTATTCGGACCCCACTAACTTCTATTTATATTACCCTGCTCTAGCAGAATAAACAAGTTTGCTTTAGTTTTTGAAGTGATATAAAAGATTTATGTTAAGCTAATTTCAGATAAGTGATTAATTTACCAGCAAACTGGTAAATCATTAATTTACCAGCAAACTGGTAAATTAATGATGTTGAAACACAGGTACATCACCATCTATTTTCATACCCTCATACCTCTTTGCTTTAACCTAGAAGATATCCAACAATGCTAAATCTCCACAGTAGATATAAATGTTGTAATGACTGAGTGGGCTGTGCTTTTACCTGCAATTGCTCCAGCAGTAAGAAGCTGTAAAGGTCCTAGTCTGCCTTGTTCATCAGCGAATTGAGTCTTGAGGTGAGCGTAAGCAGGAAAGTAGATGGCGGAGAAGGGAATGTCCCTTAGGAAGCAAGCTTTAGCACCCTGAAGACACATAATAACAATGAATCTGACAACAAAGACGTGTGGCAAAAAGGGAGTGCGCATAAAATCCCTGTGGAGAGATATTAAAAGATCTAACCTCTCACATAGTGTTAAACAAATCACCTTATAAAGGCCGAAGAAGCCAAGGTCACGGACCACACTCAAAGCACTGACTCGAGGCCCCGTGGTGATCTCGCCTGCTACCTGCAAGCGAATCTTCACGATCTCCAGAGGGTTGGTAAAGATTACCTGAGAGCCTCCAGCCTGAATCAATAGAGAGACCAGAGAAAATTACTGCATTTCTTCACCTAAAACAACAACGACAAGCTGGGAAGAAGTTCTCTATCATAAGCTTCATTGAACTCAGAGGTGAATAATAAATTTAGATCAATAAATTACTTTGCCGTTTCCTCGGACAGCAAGGTGTGCTGCGCCAATGAGTGTAAGGCTGAACAACGCTATCAAAAAACAAAAGAAACAACTAATACACACTCTTGAACATTAGACATATTGCTGCAGGGGCAGTTTCATTGCATTTACTTATCGTAATGTTTTCCCAAGTCATTCATGCAAGTTAATGAAACGTATGATGACAATGCAACATTTTACGTGAATAAAAATGGAAAACATCATTTTTTGAGACCATGTTTAAACTTAATCATTAAACATTCTGTTATGCAAGCAGAGAAGGGAGTAAATAACACCTATTGGGACTCGGTACTTACACAACCACCAGCAAGAATCTCAGCAAATAAAGGAATGGAGTCGTCCTTTTCAGTGAACTTGTCTCTTACGAAGTCATTCACCTGTGAAAAAAACATTACCAGCAGTCTTACGGTTAAACTTCAATCGCTTTTCTATGATATAACAACACCAACAAGCAAAAAACCTAAGAGGAAGGAAAATGATTCCTGGAAATATGCTCTACATTTTTATTTAACCCTTTAATCTGACGCACCAAGATTAAATCCTGTGGAATCTAATGCCTTCAAAATTAGATTAGCAGTTTAGGCAACCCTTCTGGTTAAGGTATTGTGATTTAAGAACACATATTTTGGACAGTTAATTATTAGTCAGAATGCAAATTAGAGGACATATTGGATAAGGAAAAGGAGAAGACATACTCACAGTGAGTTTGATAGCCTTCTCAGGAGCCACACCAATGAGCTGAGGAACCAGACCTGTGGAGAACCAGAGGAAAAGCTGAATCACAGTAGATGCATAGGCTGTTAATAATAATGAAACATGACATTATACTTGAAATTTAAATACATAAATTGGAGAAACAGATCTTAAATTTCTACCTTAAATAATATCAAACATTCCCTTAAGGTCGTAGGGGAGTCATATTTAAATTTCAAATCATTCTGGTTTAAACATGTATATAAATGTACTCTTTATCAGACTGTATTGTCCCAAAAGTTAGAAAATTTCTATAAAAAAAAAATCCTGTCTTAAAATCTGTTTTTTTTCTTCGTTATTTTATGCAGGCCAGTTAGTCATACATCAGCCCGTACACCTAATTTCGGCCAATCATATATCAACGGTCATCTGTCTATCAAGTTTTTTCGGTCATAGCATCTTGATTAATATGTCGCAGCTAATATACGGAACGGTTGAAATGAGAATCATTATTTACTTTACCATTGAGTTACGTCCTAGTGTTCACGGGGATGGACGTCTATGCCTTTGGCAGGCGTAGAGCTAACAGGCTCAAACATGTACGGCTGTAAGCATTCTACACCAAACAGCTTCTGCCGCCCTGGCATCCTCTTCCATAACAACTTCGTCCCCCCTTTCCTCCTTTAAATAAAAAAAATATGACGGAGGAGACTCGTCCACGACCTCCGACACAAAACTCTCCTCCTCTTGCATGTTTCCGCTGTCCATTGCGTTCCTTGACAGTGTCGTTGCTAAGTGCTACTTGGTTCCAATGTAATTTCCCATTGGAAACCTAATAGCACTAAAATGCTAATTGGTTAGCAAGATGCTCCCGAGACATCGGCCACAATCAAAAAGCTTGCCAACCTACCGCTACAACAATCCCGCCCCCTTGATAATCGACCAATCACTTTCACTTTATTCACTCGTAAAGAGAATTCGGAACTGCAACCGTTGGAACAGCCACTTCCCTGCGCCTTTAAATTTACATTTCTGAAAGTTTGGCTTGCACATTAAACAGGAATTGTATTATCAATAGGGGATTAAAATAGTAAATACTGGGAGATCTAACACTGCCTACCTCTGTAGAAGCCAAAGAAGCCTTCATAGCGCAGCACCTTCTTTGCACAATCAAAGCTGTTTTTGTACATCAGCTCTCCAACAAATGATCCTGTGGACCTCTGGTTCTGCATACGGGTCTTCACCAAGTCAATGGGATACACTGCTGTAGCTCCAGTGGCTGTAGCAAACACAGGACGAGTTAAGATGGGAGTAACGATTCTAAGGAAATATTTGGCTCTGATGAGGCCCAGAATAATTTACCTCCAGCAATAGAGCCCAGGGTGAACCTATAAGCCGACTCTGCAACTTGGAGCCACACAGGCCTGGAAGTGTCCATGTGAGACTGGGTAGAAGAACATAAATGAGAACAACTGGGACTCCACTACTGTAGATTAATCATTAAAACCACTGTCAACTTTAATTAAAGACTAAAGCCCCATTTACACAACCCTTTTAAAAACGTGTCGAGAACAGTGTGAACACGGTAACTGAGATAACTGTTGAGTGTAAATGGAACGAAACTAAACTGGACAGTGCAAGACCTAGTAGGGCTGGGCACGGTGCTCAGTTCTCTTATAACAAAGAGTGCATGAGCAGACCGAGTCATCTCCGATTTACTGTCAGCGGACTCATTTCGCAGGTTTTCCAGAGTATCCGGCTTTGCAATTCACAGATCTTTTCACCTGTGCACAACACAAACTTCTACTCTGCCTAATAACAATAAATGGCAGCAAAAGAACATGGTGCGAGCTGGGATGATGCCGATACAAGGCGAGGAACTGTGCTAGCATGATGTGTAAATGGTTGTAAGGAACAAAGATTGGTCCGAACTGGGAACGGATCAGTTTCAGAGGGCTAGTGTAAATGGGGCATATGTTGGTCTTAGCTTTGATGCTTCAGGATATTTACAGAGATTATGGCTATGATTTACTTTGTAACCCACTCATGCATGACTTGCAAAAATCCTATTCCAGGCTGCATAAGTTATTTTACGATAATTCAGCTGCCCTCATACAAGATACATACATAGGAGCACACAAACTAAACTTGCACTGCCAAAGTCTAAGGACTTTGGCAGTGCAAACCTATAAAATGTCATTCAAAGCCTTCATGTTTATACAAAAATTTTAAAAAGTATATTAACATATGAATCCTAAGTTGCTAAAACTATTTGCTCCAAATGTCCCACCTGTTTTTGGGTTTCAACTAGGTTATAGGGCAGACTTCCCTCCTCTAGTGGAGCTATCCTTTCAATGTCAGCAAGTTCCAGACGTCTAAAAAAAAAAAAACAAGATCACAGTTAAGCACAGATATCGGCATAACCCCTGGAAATGCTAGAGTATTTTGAATCCTAATTAAAAATTAAGCTGCAAGTTAAGGAATGACTCTACCCAGATGGAGAGTGAAGTCCTGATAACTGGTACAAGATGTCAATTTCCATAGGAGTAATCTGACCAAACTTGTTGGCGGCATGGACGAACTCCTCTGCAGAAACAGAAGGATGACAGTGAATTATACAGAGCAGGGAAATCCAAAGGAGAGTGAAAATGTCAGAGCAATGCAGTCTCACACCTTTAGTCACTTGCGTGTCCTTCCGTGTCCCGGCCAGCGTGCTGTAGATCTTACGGATCAGCTCCATATTGTTCAGGAGGGAGTTGAAGGCATTAAAGTAGGAGAAGCTGACCATGTGAGCGGTGCTGCCCCCTGCAGCCTGAAAAAGGAAGGAATAGCACATTTAAAATTTAGGTAAAAGAAAAACATTATTTACCAAACAGATAATTTCAGGTAAGATGATTTTGAAACTATGAGGACAGTAGGTAAATCACATTTTATGGTATGTCACAAAACTTTGAACTCGTCGAGGAAAACATGGAATTGTTATTAATACAATAATATAATTATAATATAATAATAATAATTATTATTATAATACTTCTCAGGATCATAGTTGTAAAGAAGTTGTGTTATCCTCAAAGACTAATAATAGCCTTATGTTTTTAGGGTTTCCTTTTGTTCAAATTAACCTTATCTGGCCCATCTGGTAACCTTGGATTAAAACATCAATGTCGGTGTGGAAGCACACTCACTGAGACAAGATTCTCCTCCACGAAGGGTGTAAGCATGTGGTGTCTGATCGTGGACATAATGTCACTGAAGTCGAGCGCAGAGATGGCACCATTCTTCTCTTTGTCCTTCTGGGCAAAGGCCTGGCGGGCATGCTCCAACTGCAGTTCCTGAAATCCACAGCACAGGGTTGAGAGTAAAAATAGACTAAATATGTCAACATTGCATAAGAGAAACCAATAAAAAAGGAATACAAACGTAGAACAACAAAAAAAACAAGACCGTTTCCATCCAGCGTACCTGCAGGAACTGGGTGAACTCCAAGTAGCTGAGCTGTTTCTGGCGGTCGTTGCCAAAGTGAAGGCGGATGAACTCACAGTCCCAGTTGAAGGGGATGTGGTGGTGAACGGTGGTTTGGCTAAAGATGTCTCGTGCATTCTCTGCAGCAAAATGATAACACATTAATAAAACCCTGCACATACTGTGGCTCTCAAAATTAGTTAAGATTTCCATGTAAATTCCGCCCAAACCTCCCGGTATATTGTGGCCCAGGTTTCTACCAGCAGTACAGATCTAAAGACTAGCAGTGTTTGTCATTTCTTGAAAAAATAGCTCAAGCTAAAGCTGGATGGAAAGCAACTCTAGCCATCAATTTCTAACTTTGACTAGTCCACTCTAACGGAAATATATTCTGATACAAAGTATTCCACTGTAGGCATGGATTTATGTTAAGCATTGTTTCTCTTGAAGGACAGAGTATTGCTTCATTATTAGATCCAGAATGCCCAAAGCATCATGCTGCCAATGCCTTGTTTCACTGCGACTGAACACTCTAAGCAAGGAATCATATTTAAAATAAAATATAGCACACTAGACCTGTTAATACTACAACAAATACCCAGTGTGTTCCACATGAAAGTAAGTAGCAAAAGCAGGAAAGGAGAAGGTCATAAGAGTGATTATGAAAGTCCATCCATGTGCCCAGTGAGTAATCTGGTTAACAATGCCGTGCTGGGTAATGATTTTCCCACAGCAGGGAAAAGAAGTGGGGTGAAAATGAAAGTATACCCCCCCACCTTTGTTATGAAATTGAACATTTCACTAAGTGTTAACATACACAAAATATCTTTCTGAGCATAAATTCCTTTTTATTCCTTTCTTCAAATAATTATAACTATATATGCTTCTACTATCCCATATAAAAAAAGCAAAGCGAGGTTTACCAAATGAAACGGTGCCGGTTCCAGTCTTATCAAACAGCTGAAAGGCGACTATGAAGAGGGCGTCTGGTGCACACAGGACTGATTCAAATGCAAGAAACTCCTGGAATGAGATCAGCCTACAATAGTGTGTAGATTGAACAAAAGGAGCATTAAATCAATTATCTCATAATGGAGGGCATAAAAGACCAAAAGGGACTAAACAAAGCTGGATCATACAACACTTTTAGACAAAGAACTCCCTGTTCATGTGGGCATATTAGCATAAGAACACGACTCAACAGCATGTTTCATCTGTTGTGAGTACCTATTGTGTATGTATAACACAAGGCGAGCTACTCCTGACTCACAGGTCGTGCTATCTTATCTGTAGGTCAGTATAACGACTGCTACTGACATGCAAATGTTATAAGGCATTGATTATCGATGATTAGCTAAGAGTTTGTGTGTCTGTGCTCCGATTGCGTCAACACCTACCCGTCCTTTGTGGTGTCTGCTACAGCTGCGATGAGCTGGACCGTTTTAGGGTTGTGGAGAATCTGAGTGTGGAGTCCCAGATAGTTCTGGACAAAGTCTCCAGGGGTCATGAACCTCTCGCCATCCTTGTCCACTATGCTGGCATACTAACAGAAGGAAGAAATAAAATAACAAAGAAGATTTTAATCTTTTGCAAACATTGTATAAATTAACCCACACATTTTTTACACATTTATAAGAACCGCTACCTTCTTTCAAAATCTAGACCTGCAAATGAAACACTTGAACGTAGCTCGTGATTTTTTTAAAGCAGTAGTTCAACCAATCTTAAGATAAGCAACATGTAGCCAGCATTTAGAGACAACGCTGAAGAAATGTTACTCTGCTTATAGCAATTATACTAGCCTCACAATAAATTCTGTTCAAGTAACTGATCCAGCATGTGTGGTGTAGCTTAACTAAGCATACCTTCGAACATGTAAAGACATGTGCAAACAAATGTGTGCTGATGTTTTTGGCTCAGCCTTTTCAGTTATCTGACCTTTTAATGTCAGCATGCTAAAAACTGCTGACCCACTTCTTAAGGATCACACGCGGGATCACACACTCATCATGCAGCAGACAGCAGAGCGTGGCGTAGGTACACAAAGTTTGCCCTTATTGCGGTTTCATGATCACAGAAATCAGCACTGCTATGCATGGTGTGAGATTATAATGGTGTAATAAATCTATAAATGCCACAAAGATTCCATCAATCTTTAAAACCAGGGCATACAAAATATTTTACTCATTTACACGCCTGCAAGAGTACTTTAACAGATGTTATTTAAAAGCATAATAAAAATAATTATATCTATGGATACACGTAAATGGCTATCCATCCATCCATTTTCTGACACGCTTTATCCCAAGTGGGGACGGATGGGGTGCTGGTGCCCATCTCCAGCTGTCTACTGGCAACCTGTCTACACTCTAGACAGGTCGCCAGTCCATTGCAGGGCAACACAGAAACAAACAGGAAAAACAACCATTCACGAACACACCTAAGGAGAATATAATGAAGCTAATTAACCAAACATAATTTTTTGGACTGTGGGAGGAAGCCGGAGTACCCACAGAGAACCCACGCATGCTCAGGGAGAACATGCAAACTCCGTGCAGAAAGACCCCGGGCCAGGAATCGAACCCAGCAGTGCTACCCACTGCACACTAAATATTGGTAAAAACATTTTTGTATTGAATAGTAACTCCAGCAACGGGGAGAAACATTTTTGTAAATCTGGGACTATTATTGGCCTATGTTACGGGTAAACAATTCATCTAACAACATAAGGTTATACAGAAACAAATATAGTCCAAATCAAATGAATGTATGTGTATATATATATATATATATAAATAAATATATAAATCAAGCCCACATTCTGATCCAAATCCTCTCAAGGCAACTAAATGATATTTATAACACATTTTAATCAAAGGTCTGTTGATCATAAAAACTTAACTGGTTAAAAGTTATCTATTAAAGGAGACCAGGTCATTGCAGGATTGTCATTGAGCTCAAGGACAATTGGTGGAAACATTTACTCATTAAACAAGGCAGCTTTCAGAGAGATCCTTGCTTTCTTCGTGCATTACTGATGCTGATTTTGTTGTAGCAGTAAAACCTGATTAGCTTTACCTTCTGGAAAATTGCCTTCAGCTCAGTTGGGTCCCCACGTTTGGTAGATTGCACCTACAGTAAAAACACAAACAAGCAGAGAATGAATGCGCTATTCAACAGTGACAGCAGCACAGGCTGCTGAATCAGTCAGCTTTTAAAGACACACTGCAGAATAGAAAGCAAAACAAAGAAAATTAATTAAAAAAAAATTTCAACCACAATATCTCGAAGGGAAAATTAAAAAATATAGATAGCTAATCGTAACCCCTTGTAGTAGATGTACAAACCGAGTAGCAAGCTAGCGAAAAAAGACAAATCACTGTCCCAAAATGTTAATATTTATATCCACAAAATGCAACACGAGAAGAACAAACAAACTACAGACAGTCCCGAAACAGCGTAGCTTCGACGGCTAGCAAGGCTTTCATATGAGCAACTTAAGGGTTTTAGCCTTTTCCGGCTAATTCGAGGTTGTAGATGCCTCATCAAGGCCAACCGGCGCCAGGACGACAGCTAGCCCGAGTGATGCTACAGCGTCGGAACGCACTGCCTCCGAGACGCCGCACCCGGACAGACCCGGGCAGCCTAGCTTTAATAACTCACACGCAGCAAAAAGAGCAGAAAACACGCACACACTAGAAAGAAAAAGTTGAAAAAGAGCGATGCCCAAGTCACCTTGACCGCCATGCTGGTTTGACGTCACACGCAGTGGGCGAGAGAGCAGCGCGCGTGCTCATCCACCCGGACTGAGGAGGAAACTGAGGAGCGTTAAAAGAATAAAACTGCGCAAAGAAAATGTAACAAGATAACAGCGGAAACAATAGCTGCTGGATGAATGTAAGGCGAGGGAGGGAGCAGATTAACTTTGCTTGAATAGTGCTCAACATGGAGGAGCTTCTGTGAGAACTCTTACATCAGTCTCTGCGTGTGTGAACAAGCTGCGGATTACTTCCTATTTTTTCATCATACCTTGTCACTAGTATAACCTGTGAGTCACAAGAGCTCAACAGTAAAAATATAGAAAGCTCTTATATTGGGGAAAATCAAGGTGGATGAAATGTTATATAATATCTATATAGACCTGAAGAGTTAAATAACCTCTGTAATGATCAGTGCAAAATGTACATATTTAATTTTATCAATGCAGAACTGTTTTAGAGAACTTGAGTCAGTAGGTTACTTGTATCCTTTGAAATAAAGAGTGAAATAAATCTGAAATTTGAAATAAATCTTTTAAACTCAGATTGACTTAATCAATTATTTCCAATCTTCTTATCCAAGCAGCTTTTTTTCCAGCTTTTTTTTATTGTCATTACACTGTCACAAGTACAGAGCAACAAAATAAACTCTCTGCATGTAATCCATCCCCTTGTGGAGCAGTGGGCTGCCATTGTGCGGCGCCCGAGGAGCAGTGTGGGCTTAAGGGTCTTTAGTTCAGGGATGCAGAACCTCAGGATTCCAAGCACAATGCCAGAACCACTTGGTCGCCCCTTCCCCTAAGCGACCTTTATCTGTAAATTCTTGCAATAAGCACTAATGAAGTGTTGAACAGAAACTGTTTGTGAGGACTAACTGACACATGCAATAATTTAAAGAACTTCAAACTAGTAAAATAGTCTCTTTCATATGGGCAAAGGCAGAGAAAAAGCACATAACAGCTGGTTTTATATTATGGGGAAATCATATCAAAACAGTGTATGGTTTACCTATATTTATTACTATTCTAAAATATGTCTTATTTTGGGGGGTTTGTTATCTTTTGAACAAGTTGCAAAAGTGTATCTTTCCAGACTGCAGCTGTGTGCTCACAAGTGATATCACAAATGTTTGTTTTCACTGATAAAGCTGTGACCCACTCCTGTATTTTCACTGTTTGACTGACCAGGGGCTGTGTTATGTAACTTTGCTTAAAAATAGAGTGAATGTCATCTATTTTAAGCACTCTATGGTATGGGACACACTGATCCCACATGGCTTGTTAGATTATTACTAGGGTTGAAATGATTAATCGGATTAATCATGATTAATCGATTAATAAAATAATCATCAACTAATTTAGTAATCGATTAATTCCTAACTTGAGTATAGAGGGTCTAAAACATGCCTTTAGCTGACACATCAACCCACATTGAGCAGCAATTATAACAAAATTGTAAAAAAAAGTAAACATTTTGCATTTAAGATAAGAAAAAAGGGTCCGTCTCTCAATACGCTCTATCCAGACCCCCTAAATTGGAAACATTATAGTTTCTAAAGGTGAAACTTCTTTAAGGAACCTTTGACTATCTGATTATTAACCAATGAATGAAAAACATAATTAATAGATTAAACGATTTGCAAAATAATTGTTTGTTGCAGCCCTACACAGGAGCAATATGTGCAACAGTGACAAGGTACATCCTGGGCTTGTTTGCAGCCCATTGCAGGGCAATACAGCTATTTTCCCCCAAAGTAGTTCTGACAATGCTTGGACTTATGTTTTGGGTCATTATATTGCTATAAGATGAACCTCTGACCAACTAGATGGATACCAGAGGGTATTGCATACAGCTGCAGAATGCTGTGGTAGGCGCTTTGGCTCAGAGGGACCCTTACTTTGTAATAAATCATAGACTCTAAATCCTACAAAACATCCCCAGACAATCACATTACCTCCTCTGTGTTTAACTGCTGATGTTAGACTCTGTTGAACCATCCGTTCTACTAATGATATACAAAGCTCCTGCATAATAACCCAGATATAATCACACAGTATATTTAACATTTGGAATTTAGTTTTTATCTTCTGCTGAATAACTTAGCTTCAAATTTTTTTTTTAAATAGCCTACTATCTAGTCTTGTATGTACCTGCATATTTCCTTCTGTCTACTTAGTAATTTTTGCTACTGTCAACATGAGTTTATAACAAAGGTATTGCTACTTTGAAGGTTTTGGTTATGGGTTAGGGTTTATGCCAGGTTTTGTCACATATGGCACTCCTTCATAATGTTCAATAGAGGATCCTAGAAAGGGGCAAAATCCTTGTGAGACAGGGTTTAAAAAAACTGGCATGAGCTTTATTGGCCTCCCTTGGAAACCACAGGAACAACATCACTGCGTTTAACCAGTCTTAACTGACAGAACTGGAGAAGCAGGAAGAAGAAAATGTGTTCTTTAAGAATGTTGATGTTGGTTAAAGCTGACAGGAAGAACAAAAGGAGAAGCCTAGGACCAATTCATACCATATTAAACACATTAAGAAAATTAATAGACTTCTAATAAAAGGTAGTAAAAAAGCTGAGTGATTAACACAGTGGAGGTGAGAGAAAAAAAATATGGACAGTAACAGTCCAGTAACTGTGCAGACAATGGCACTGAAGTACAAAATACTTCTGATCAGATAAAAACTGCATATAAAACTATGCATAAAATGTGTAAAAACCAAACTTTGAATCTAAGCCATATGCCAGGCGTCCTTGGTAATAAGCAGTTTTGGACTATTGATGACTGCAATGTTGGATGAGAGTGGAATATCTAATTTGCTTACATCTTCTTGTGTCAGTGAGGAATTTTATTTCATTTTTTTTTTTTTTTGCCACGTTGATTTATGGCTTTTTTATACTAAGACAAAAACGTAGGTAATATACAATTGAATTTTTTTTAAATAAATGTATTTCAGTGTGAGTTTAAAATTGTGTTAAAGTAGACAGTAAATTCTTCCACACTAAACCATAAATAACAGATTCCAGACACATAAAAAAAACTTCATAAACCACTATAGTAAAGGCCTCCTCCTCACACGTGACCCGCAGAGTTTAAGTTTCCGGGTCACGTGACCAAATACTCTCCGACCATGTGACCACAACAGAACATAGGGTATTTAATGGCTGCCGTTGTTGCTCGCTGCCCTGTTGGGCTTTCATGCAGGAAAGGTAATTTGGGTTATTTCAGCGCCATTAGGCCTAGTCTGAGTCTTAACATCAGCGAGTTTGATTAAATTAATGATAGAAAATCTAAAGTCAAAGTTTTAAGGAGACGGTTGAATTGTTATATTAGTTAGCATGGTCACCCCTGAACAATTAATACTGAAAACATTTATTTAGCCAGTTTTTATCTGTATTTGTAGTCATTATTTATGCCAAATAGGTGACATTTAACAAGTGCTGTATTTTAACAAACCAAACTGCTGCCTGGAAAAGCTGTCACACTAAAAAAACACTTTATATTTTGTTAAGCTACGAACTCTGCTTTAGTCCGAGTTTTATTGTTCATGTTACAGACCAACGTAAAATGATGCACATTAATTAATTAATGATATGAAAAAGCCTTCCTGTGTGAAACTGTCCCAGGGCTAATTGGAAGGATCCCCCCAACTGGTATTTATTTTTTAAATACTGAAGAAACCAATTTGTCTAAGTGAAGCTTAAATGCATAAAAAAATCAGTAATGCATGTAAAGTAATATAGCAACCAATGAGTAAATCTTAATACAATGCCCCATGCACGCGAAAGTTTTTGCACAGTTATATATGTCTACTTTCAAATCTTTTACATGGTGCTAGCACCTAAAGGTGGTCAGTTTGTCTGTAATTATGAACCATCCCTTAGCAAAAAGTAGTTTATTCAAGTATACTAAAAGTGCACTGATTTCATGCTTAAAATCAGGCAGTACACTTAGAGTTTACTTATTCTAAACTATATCTCATATACTAAACAATTGTATAGTCAGTATACTTGACTATACTATTGTGTACTTTATCGTTTGCTAAAGTATACTTTAATTATACTTTAGCAAACTTAAAAATGTCCCAATTTAGTTCGAAGAAGTATTACTTTAGTAATACTTAAAGTAGACAAAAAGTACATTGTGCGGTATACTTTCTAAACTTATACTTAAGGATTGTTAATAGAATTGATTTCAAATATACTAATTTTAGATAAGGGAAATCCTATTACTGTTAGTCCTGCTGGGCAACTTGTTAGACACTCCAAAAAAATAAATAAATAAATAAGTATATATACACAAACACACACACACACACACACACACCAGTGTTGAAGTTGACACTGCAACAGCAGCGTGGTGACTATTTGTAAAAAAATAAAAATAAAAAAACTTAAGTCTTAAAGCTGATTAAAGCAAAAGGTGAATGTAACTCAAATAGCCACCTGATGCACTGTGGATTCTGGCTTACACAGTCCAAAAAGATCACAAAGTGGTCAAAATTCAGTTCTTTGCTTGCTTCTTTTCTCCGTTCAGACAAACAGGCTTCACAGGATTATACTATTGCTCTCACTTTGATTCCTGTACCTGTTCTTTGATTGACTGACTGAAAACTGGTAAAAAACCATATGACCAGCCACGTGCATAATGAGCTACTGAAGAACTACCTTTTTAAACTGTGAAACACCAACATCCCAAGCTAAAATTAAATAACTAATTAAGTGAATCACTAACCAAAAACATATTCTAAATAACAAATCAAACTAAATAATCTAAATTCTAAGATTTAACTGAAAATGGAGAAATAGCTCCTACAAGCAGGTAAGGTCATAGTCAAGACTAGATTAAATTCAATTCGGTTCTATTTAATATGATAATATTTAGCAAAACTTGGAAAATAAACGTTTACAGAGATGCTCCATCCAATCAGACTTATGATGAACTCACTGTTCAGAAAAACTGAAATTCTTGTCTGTGAATTGGCAGCACCGGTACAGATATTAAGCAACAAAATTGTAATATCAGTGAAAAATCTTTAAGAAACCACTGATAGGAAGGGTAACACCTTTACGATTGTTACTCATTAAAAAAAATGTGAAATCTCTGGATTGTTTTCCTTTCACTTTGAAATTGT